ACAATGTCAAGCCGAAGTCCTCAGCCCAGAGTCTTCAACTGCACACAAGGGTTGAAACTACCAGGGTTGTCACTATGTAGCCATGGAGATGTGTACACAGTGTCTAACTTGGAGGAAGCAGCCACCAATAAGAATGCTTATTATTATTTATTCCTTGGTCTGATCTCATCTCCACCCCTAATCCCAGCACCAGCTTTGAATGCTTTTCCACCAAATCAGAGAGCCCACAAACCCAGCTCCTTCTGTTTTGGCTGCTTGAAGACTGCTGGATGCCTTTTCTGTCTATAAATCCTCCACCCATCAGCCTGTTTTCAAGCCCCAAGAATGTTCATTTTCCATATGCTCCCCAGCTGGCCACCAGTGCAATCTCGTAGAGGTTAACCTTGTGTTCAGGAGCATTCTATTGCAGGCATTACCTTTCCTTAAAAAAATGCAATGCCTCCGTGGTTAGGATATCAAAGCAGCCATGCCCATGCACACGCATGCATGCCCACCCATTCATATGTCTCATAAAAATCATCAAACTCATTAGGCCATGTTTCACAATTTCCCAATAAATGCTTATGTTTTCTTGCCACATAGATTTCTATAATTTACCTGGCAATGTCATTACTAAACTGCAACAATTCAGCCCAGCCCAACTTATTGGTGGTAGCTGGTTCCTAGCAGAAAAGGCTTTTGACTTCCTTGGACTTTTCGCCTTCTGCACACTTCCTTGCTCCTCCCATCCCTGGCCCCTACAACAGGCACATCTGTGCTTGTTTCATTGGCCTGCCATATACCCTGCAACCAAACAGAGGCCAAGGACTGTAGGAGACAAACCCATAGTCCCTCAGAGTGCTTCTAACCTGTTTGCGGTCTGCTCATTCAAGCTGGGCCAATCTCCATCTGAACCTAAAGCCAGGGGGCTGTGTCAGCACAGAGGCGTCTGCACCTCAGCTTGCTGTGAAACAAGTGTGCTTTTTGAGAAGCCCACTTGCCTACTATAATGTGAGCAGGGCGCGTGTAAGGAGTTTGAGTCTCCTTAGATTTGGGGGTGGGGACTTTGAGAAAGAAGGTTAGGCTTGAGATGGTTCCAGTTGAATCCATCTTCAGGGATTGAGGCTGGTCCTGGTTGTGGAACAGAGCCTGTGTGAGGCCCTCGGGCCAGGGTTGTGGAGGGTGGGGTGTTTGTTGTGGACGGTTGGCCGCTTCCCCAGGCTTCAGAGCACCATCACTGAGGCAGAGCCTCTGTTGCAGCTGAGCAGAGCGGGAGCTCAGCGAGGCAAAGCCAGGCTTCGCTGGGGAACTGGCATTGGCTTTGTGCACCCGGGACCATCAGTGTTTGAAGCCTGGGCAGGGGGTGCATCTTCCTGGTGAAGCCAGACAAATCTCCAGGTAGCCATAAACTGACTACACAGCCTTCATGCCTGAACACATGTTCAAAAGCGATAAAATAAATGCAGATGGCTTCTCCAAGCCTCAGTGGAGGGTTTTTACATTGACTAAATGAACGGTAAAGCACAGATAAACACACACGTGCTCATACACAACACAGGAAAGGAAACAGCAACAGAAAAGTCCTCAGAAATACCAAACCCTAAAACACCAGCACCAGCCTAGAGGAAGCATTGTTGAATATGAGAGAGAGACGGGGGCTGAGAGATGGGAAATTCAAGAGCAGAGCCGTGCTGTAACTCACAAGGAGGAACCAAAGCATACACGCATGCACACGCACACTCGCACACGCACGCTTCAGAGAAGCACGCAGGCAGAACTTCTGGAAAAAAATTAAGTTTCACTGCTTGGAAGGGTTAGAAATACCTTCCCTAGTATGTCAACTGTGGATTAAAGGCCTTGTCACTAAGACCGGGCCAGCGGTTTGGTTGAAGAGACCAGCAGAAAGGAAATGGACAAATGCTATCCTTAAGGGAGGTGGACCTCCCTTAAGGTCCATGATTAATGCATGTTAGTTATGACTAATCCTCCACCACAGAGCTTGGAAAGTCCCACCAAAATTCCAGACTGAGGGGTCCTGCAAACCCTGCAAAAGCTCATCATCATCATCATTGTCGTCGTCAGCATCGTCACTGAAGGAGGCTTCTAACGTGCCAGGAAATGGATGATTTTATTAGATTGCCAAACAATCTTATGAAGTAGGCACTGTCCCCACTTTACAGACAAGTAGACAAAGGCTCAGAGAGATCAAGTAACAAGCTCAAGGTCACAGTCTGTAAGTGGGGAGAATTTGAGAGACTCACATGCGGCAGAAAGGAGTCCCATCAGTAGGGAACAGAGCTTCTCACCACAGAATTCATTAAGGAAATGAAGATTATCTGTCTGGACTCCGCCCCTCTCTGCAATAGAATCTCATGATGCTGAAAGCCCCGGTTGGGACAAGGGAGTTATTCAAGGTCATGCAGCTATTCTCAATAAAGCTGGCCCACAAACCATTTTCTCCTGTGCTCTCAAGTTCGTCACATTGCAATACACCTCTGCTTAATGAAGCTCCTGCAAGAAACTAAGCAATAAGGGAAGATAGACAGTGGAGTTTCCCAGGAGCCAGATACTAGCCCTCCAAGCCTCTCCTATCTCAGAGATGGGTTTAACCTTCAACCAAGCCCAATGACAAATGTCTACATTGGATAGAAATAGGCCTTCTACCCACCTCGAAAAGGCTCTGCCCTGGGTCCAAAGCTAACAGGCTGACTCTGACAGCATCTGAATAGTTACTGAGATGGAACTGGGTAACGCTGTATTACCCTGCCCCTCTGAATTGGAGAGGCTGAGCCGTCAGATGGCCGGCAGCCCAGAGTTCCCTTTGGGAATATTTGTCTCATCCCGAGGTCTTTTCTCCTCAGAGCTGCACCCGCCCAGAAGCATGCTCCTCCAGACTTGCTCTGGACAAGCTAGCAAACTCCTTGCATTCCAGGCAGAGCTCAAGACTCAGCCCTACAAGTCTTTTGGGTCAGCGCCTGGCAAGGCTGGGGTCTGAGGCCCCTGTCACTGAAGCCCATCTCCCTCATCAACCAGACCACCCTCTACCGTTCAGAAGTTCCAGAAGAGGACCTTAAGGGCTCCTCAACTGCAGGCCTGAGGATAGAAAGAAAGACCCTATGATAGGCAGGTGTGGTAGCCTTTGCGGCAACTCCTCAACAGGTTTCTCCAACTTTCCAGAATCCACTGTTAACCAGAGCCATAAAACTCCTTCTTTATGTTCCTGTCTTGCTTCTGCAGCACAGGCTAAACAACTGGGACTCAAGCTCTGTAGACGCCCCCCAGCTGCAGTGTCCCTCAGCCTGCTGTTTTAGGGGTGGAAGGCTTACTAGAAACCCAGAAAAATGGTCACTTTGAAATGATGAGCACCTTATAACTAGGCTTGGGCCAGTCGTAAGCCTCTCCTTGTCCTATCCGCTGGGTTATGTGTTCTTGATGAAGGCTCAGTGAAAACAACAGGACAAAAGTTCTCATGCAGAAGGCTGTGCTTTTCCTGTCTGTAACACCCACTCTGAAATGTGATGCTGCTACGTGGGAGAGGCAGAGACCAGTGTCGAGGGGTCAGGACTGTGCTATCGTTGCCACACAGATTTCAATCTTCACGCTGCCACTTACTTACTAAATGACCATGGGCAAGTTGAACCCACTGGCCTCAGTTTCCTTGCCTGTAAACTGGAGATGATGCTGGCTCCCTCAAAGGATTTGTGACAGTTAATGGCGGCAAGGTTTGAACATGCCTGGCCCATGATGGGTACATGGTCAATTCCTTATTTCCTGCCCCCATATTTTCGGCATCCAGGATCAAGTGCAGCGTGACGATGTTCCTAACTAAGCCCACTGCTATTTGCTGAGTCTATTTCAAAAGTTCATGTTCCATAAAGGACACATTCCATACAGGTGTGTGCTAAGGAGATGCCGGTGCATAGGCTGCTTGAGGTAAGAGCACACGTGGCCCTGATGAAGGCCGGGCAATCCAGGTTGGGCAGGGGACAGGGCAACAGGACAGTGCTGGATTAGCAGATACCCTGTATCTCCACCAAGAGGGAAGAGGAGCGTCCTTATGTCCAGCCCCAAGAGGATGAGCTGCTTCCCAGTGGGAAATGGGCATCAACAAACTCCTGGACGGACATCCCTGGTGTCCCCTCAGTCCTGCCTGGGCATGACAGGTGAGGCCATCACCACAGGACCCCTTGCTTGTCATGAACTCCTGCTGGGACTCAGAAGGCATCAAGAAGGTCCCTCACATTTGGGCAGTTTACATCTTGAGGGGATGGGAGGGAATGGGTGAAGCACTTGCATTCTTAAGCACCTGCTCCATGCTGGAAAGCTTTAGGGTTGTAAACTGACTCTTCAGGATTCCTGGGACATAGGCGAGGACCCCCGTTTGGCTCTGACCCTAGGAAGCACAGGCTCAGAGAGTCTCTAAAACCCGGACAAGCTCACAGGGGGAGGAGCTGGAACGTGAATCCGTGTCTGACTCCAAAGCCCGAACACTTTCCAACTCTGCTGACACTTCTCGAAGGAGCTGCCAGATGAGGAGGGGTGGCCACAGGCTGAGAGTCAGTCACAGGTAAATTTACCCTGTATGTATAGATTATTCACAATCCCTTTCAGTTTGCTTCTGGGTAATCATGCAATTATTCTGTTACAAATAGTTAAAAAAAAAAATTCCTGTGTGCCTAAGATGAAAACCACTTGCAAAATACAAAACAAAAACCAAAGCCAAAAAAAAAAAATCACCCTTAAACAACCCCAAACCCCAAAACAACAAATGTGCTGCAAAGAAACCTCCAAAACTAAAATTGCCAGGGTTGTTGTTATTGTTCCAGGATCATAACATTGGAGCAAATCATAATGCTAATTTTCTAAGCTAACAGCAGAGAATTTGATATAGAACTTTCTGGCCAGAGATACACGGTATCATTTTCAGTGGAGGCCAGAACGGTTCTTTTAATTAATTAACCCAACATTAAATGTACCAGAAGAGGGATGTAACTGTGTTTACACACAACTCTGACATCATCTGATTTTAACAAGTTTACTAAAACGACAGTCACGGCCTTGACAATACTGAATGCAAAATACTGGTGTACACAGATTTTACAGAGTGACTCCTGAGAGCCAGATCACAAAACAAGTTTTAACAGATGGGAGAGGCCTGAGGGAAGGCAAGCACACTGATTTTATTGAGAAAAAAAGCTTATATACTGTAGGGTTGCTGAAGTTTAATAAATAAAGGTCAACTTATAATATATAAAAACAATATAAACATTTATATGCTACATGCATATCATATAATTTAAAGTAATAATTTATATACGGGGAGAGATGCCAATTCATGTTCTTCCGATTTTCCTCGACAAGGCACACACACAGGATGTGTCTATCCGTATCCACCGCCAGCCCACGAGTTTGTTGTTTTCTGAAGTCAGTGCACGGACATAGGTTTGGGACGTTTTGCACTGAGAGTTCCAGTGTTTATCATCAATGCCCCTGCAACCGTTTTTGACTGGCCTGGCTTCCTTACATCGCGTTTCATAAAAATATTGTTTGACGGGAGAGTTGCCGGTTTTGATCTCCCCCAGCACCGTGACCTGGTGTCCCCGAATGTCGATGGCCGACGACTTGTCGGTCACCCACAGACTCTCACTGTCACATACCGAGTACTCCCCTCGGTGACTCTTATGCTCTGCGTACCGTTTCCGCCGTGATGTTCTGTTCGCCACCACGGGGTTGCCCACGTAATCCTCCATGAGATACAAGGGCGGGGGCTCCAAAGGGGTGCTCTCGCTCAGCAGGACCCGTGGTGAGTTGTAGCGTCTCTGCTGCCGCAGCAGCTCGGTGTCCATTGCAATCACTGGCTGGAATTCTGACTTGGTGGGCTCTCCCCGCTCTGGCTCTCGGGGGGCCTCTGCTTTCGGCAGGGTGCCCTGGTAACTTTCCTTAACGTCCACCACCTGCTTGGAGAGCTTGTTTTTCAAAATATCTGCTTGGATCAGCTTAATTATCAGGGAATTGAGCGAGTCTTCCGGCAAACTCCTTTGATCCATGTTGTTACCTTGGATGCCACGGAGATAAGCGAGGAATATCACATAAAACAAGATGGACATCACCTTGTTCACCTGTAAGATCTGAAAAGGAAACACAGGTGTTAAGAGCAGGCCTGTGGCAGCTGAGTCTGTGTTATTCTGACACCAGCTACCTGAGGCTGAGTATCCCTGTGAGGGTACGAGGGAGGGTACCCCCAGGTGAGCAATGCAGCTCCCCTCTGGACATTCTGAAGAGGCGATTTCTTTCCCCCACCCCCGGGAAATACTGCAGAATGCACTCCAGGTCTGCTGACTCTGCTCTTTGCATGGATTGCATTTACATCCGAGGTCTGCTTTATCCTGCAGGCTCTGCTTGTGGGTGGATGATGTCCTACCACTTCTTTAAACATCCCCTGAGCCCGTAAAGACATATCATTCACTCTACCTTGGCAAAGCATGAAAACTTCAAACCTGAGAATTGTAACCATGGAGTAACTTCCCTTCAGCAGCAGCAGCAGCAGCGGTGGCCTTGTAATTGTCTCAAGAAAGAGTTCGACTGCTCCCTAGCTGCAGCCCCTGGAACGCACTGAGACTGAGGACTGGTTCAGTTGCCCCCATATTACGGTGTCATAGGTGGGGTCATCCTCGGCCAGGCCACAGCTGGAGCGGTCTGTTCTCCTGCCTTTGGAAATGAACACGTGGGGCCACTACCCACTCTGCGAAAGGGCCTGCGTTCCAGGATGCTCTGCTGAGCTCTCTGATGCACACGCATCACCAATTGATCTGCGGCATCCCTGGGGACCCTCTCCACAAAACACAGCCCGGCCACAGCACTACTTGCAGAAGACAGAGATGCAGAATAACCACCTCAAATAAATGGACTGGACCTGCCCAGAATAGAAGAGTCACTGTTGATTCACTTTCCTCCTTTAGATTTCTAACATTTCTGCTACAACATGTTCCTTTTAGTGGTTATGTTTCTTCCAATTCTACTATTACCTTGTTTAAATGGCATTCCAACCCCTCAGCGCCCTCATTCTGTTGCCATAGTAGAAGCTCCACATTGGGCTTCTGCTGAGTCCTGGTGGAATTACAGTGGTGATCTGGAGACACCTTCATTGCTAGTCTCTCCCTCACTAGAGCAAAGCCCAGATCTTCCAAGGCTTAGCACTGGAAGGAGATGCTCCTGGTGGAGAGGGGCTGCTGAGCTAGCGATCCTGACTTGTACCTGATTCGTCCACCGCCTTGAGATATTCGCTCCTTAATTACCATCGCTACCACCTCACTGGTTCCCAGGGGGGTACATCATTTCCTCTTTAAAGTTCTGTCTAAACATGGAAAATAAAAACTCTTCCCCTGGTTCACCTTTGGTACTTTTGGAAAGGCTTTACTAAGTCCAGGGGGAAGATAGAGAGGAGGTAAACAAAGCCGACATAAGAAACAGAAAAGCAGTCCTGCAAACCAACACCCAGGTCTGAGCCTGCCAGTGCTAACTCGCTCCCAGGACTCACAGGGAGCCTCTTTCCCAGCTTGTCTGAGATACCGCTGGCTGGCTTGTCCCGAGAGGCCAGCGACGGTGAGGCACTCTGCTCACACTGCCTCCTCCTGCCACTGTGATAAGGAGGCTATCTTTTTTCCATGGGAACTAGTCTTTGGGACAACCGATTCCTTCAAGGTCAAAGCCAAGAGAGGGATTCTAGCTTTGCCACTCACCCTTGGAGATGACTCTAAGGAATTGTATTATCCTAGGAAAATAGTTCCCACAGGATAAGGAATCTCCCTCCTATTCTGCATACAAGTGACATTTCCTTCAATATTACAGGCCCAGCAAAATGCAACTTGAACTGTACAAAAAATATGGCATATGTGCAACTAGGATTACGCTCCCCTCCCCCCAAAAAAGAAATCATTTAGGACTGACAGCCTATTGAAAAACAATGTATTAAATCTCCCAAAAGCTGAGCCACTGTAAGCTAAGAATACACAGGGTATCCACTCTTAAGGAAATAAATGAAGTATGGTTAGTGAGGCGAAGTCCTAGGTAAAACAAGAGTCAAGGTACAGATTAGTGAGGTAATGACCAGGGCGAGCTGAGAGGGAGAATGCTGGCTGATGCTGATGGATTGAGGAGGGAAAAGTAAGAGTCTTTATGGGTGACAGCTGGAATATGGAACCTAAGTGTGTTAGAAGTAGACAAAGCATATAAAGAGACCATTTAATCTTATTCATCTTATAGATGAGGAAAACCTAAATGAAGTTTAAAGAAAAGGAGAGACCCTCAGGGAAGTGAGAGGTGTTCCCTGAACTCCGGCCCTCACCTCCCTTTTCTGTCGTGTGATGATTGGGCTCACAGGCCCCTTGCTCCAACCCCATTCACTACTCACTGCTGCTCGAATCACGATCCATGTGCACTGCCTCTGCTGTTGAAATTTCACCCGTGTTTCAGTGCCTGGTACCAAAGCTGACTTTTCTGCAATGCTCCGCCAAGATCCCAACAGCAGCACCTGCTGTCTCCTTGCAACCCAGCCTGCTCTCCCAGCGCCTGGCCATTTCTTTCTTACTTGCCGTGATACTTTGTAATAAGTGGTGGGAGTAAGTCATCCGCAGGCTAGTGAGTGTTTCTAAATGCTTCAGAAGACTGTCTTAAAACCCTGCAGGCTTCCTGTGGACTCCATTTCAATAATCCACTTTTAGCTTTTTTCATAGAGAGCAAGTCCAAGATTGTTGCTAACAGAACACCCCAAAACACAGAGGTTTGCAGCTGGAAAAGACCTTAGACAACCTCCTCATTTATACAGATAAGGGAGCTGAGGCCTGCAGTGGTGGTGAAGTGAGCTGTCTCAGATCAGACAGCTAAACAATGGCAGAGAGTGATGGGGGACGTTTGGTTTGCAGGCTCAACAAAAACCACATGGCTCGTGCACCATCAACATTATTGTGAGGGGTAAATAATGAAATCCACGTGGAAGCACCTAGCATAGTGTCAGGCACAGGGTGAGCACACTAGACATGTTATAGAACATGAACCTGAATGGCCTGTGGCGGCAGGAGATGGGGCACATCTGCCCTTGATGCACACATGCGAGGGGCCCAGCGTCTGGGAGCTCCCTCCTCTGCATCTGGCTCACAGCAATCTGCACCAACACGGTCTCCGCAATGCTTTCCCCTAATGCCATGGTGCCCAAGTGCTCGGATCTCAGCCCACTTACACTGGGTGTGGGAGAAGAAAAGAGTATCATGAACTAGAAGCCCAGGGAACAGACAAATGACGAAAGCAACCACGGGCAAGGGAGAGGCGGTATTTCTGAATATGCTGGGGGCAGGAATTGATGGATTCTGATCTCTGGCCACTTTTTGGTCACTAGTATCTTCATTTCTCACTCCATATCTAGGTGGGAGTCCCCAGGGAGACAGTTCCCAGGAGTGGGGAATGGAAACAGCGAGGCAGTGCCAGCTCGACCCAGGCAAGGCACAGCGGTGAGCTTTTCTACTTAGGGGGATGTCTCTGCTCTTTCTCTAGCGGTCACTGCCATCTGCAGAGAGTCCCATTTAAGCCATTGTTATATTGTGCTATTACTGTTGGTGTGTCTCCTCTTTGACGACAGGGACCATGTCCTTTCCATCCACACATCCTTGATGCCCAGCACACGGCTAGACACTGCAGAGTTTTGATGTCTATTTACTGAATGAGCGCCTGCTACGATCGAGACCTACCCAAGGCACTGTTTGCTGGCTGGAGAGCCTGTATGGGCCTTTGCCAAGCCTGGCTTTGGAAGCCAATCAACTCTGCCTTCTTTTCCCAAAGAAAATACAGGCCCTGGCTCTGAAGTCGGCCATGGTCCCCAGGCTCTTCTTGGCTATAATTAGAAAAAGACCTGTTAAAGACCTCAGTAAACCCCCTTTCTACACTCTCCCCAGTGCCCATTTCCCCTGCTCGGAGTTTTCCAAGAGCCTGACCGACGTGCATGTGCGATTTTCCTCACTTAGAAATGCTTTCCCACATATGGTGTTTTCTCAGTCCCTGGAGCAACATTCCTACAAGGTTTCACCATCCCTCAAAATACTCAAAAGAGAGCAATTTCTGATTCCTCCTTTTTGGCTCAGTTTACAGCATCCACAGAGGGTTTGGGGGTATTCGAGAAGCAGCTGACATGGAAGAGGAAGCTGGGGTAGAGAGTGGCACAGGATCTGAGCCCCCAGCAACCTGCGTCTGCTGTGCCACATGCAGCGATGGGGCTGCAGCCTTCAGATTCCAATTCACCTCTCCAGGACCAGCTTCCCTACACAGGAGCACCTCCTGACCATGTACCTAAAGACCCCTCTTGTTGCACATGTATGGAGTGAATTTTTAGACTGCTTAGGGGTGAGATCACCAAGAATAAAAATGCAAAGTGCCAGGTACTGGCTTACATAAAATCTTAAATCCTGGCAACCACCATCCTCAAGTAGGTACTATTATATTTCCCATTCAGATGGGGAAACTGAGGCACAAAGGGGTTCCATGACTAGCTAACAAGCAGCAGAGCTAGGATTTGCACTCTGGCTCTAGAGCTCGTGTTATTAATGATGACACTCTGCTGCCTGTCTGTCTATCCCTGCTCTCAAACATCCTAGAGAGTTTACTTCCAGGGGAAGCCCAAGCTCCAAGCCTGGAGCCAGGATGGCTGCCATCAGCAGGCTGTGCCCTTCCCCAAGAAGCCTGAGCTCTAAGCAGAGTTTGCAGAGATGTGAGGCCATCACTCCTATGTCCTCCTCCCCATATTTCCTATGAAAGCATCCCTCATGAAAGTAAACACAGTCCAGTTCCCCCACCCTAGTCCCTCCTGGGCCTGATGCTCTCCAGAGTAGATCACCTGTGCCTGCAGAGGCCCTGCTGTGGTGGACAGAATACTCAGTGCACCATCTCACATCCTGGGGTTGAGTCCAGCACTGGAAATCTGGGCGACTTATAAAGAAAGCAGAAAAGCTCTGTTTTAGCTTTCCTCAGGGAGGAGTCATGAGAGCAGAAGTGAAAGCGGTTTTTAATTTGCCAAATTTTTAATATGCAAATTCAAAAGACTTCATTATTTCTGGTACAGCCATATCCTCTGGAGGCCAATGCA